TTTCACTGCCTGACGTTATATTATAAACTCATTTATTTACATGTTTGTTGTCTGTCTTTCCTACTAGCATGTCAGTTCCTTGAACACAGGGGTTTGTTTTCTCTTGTTTTTTGCTGTATTCCCTAAACTAGAATAGTTAGTGCTCAATGTGTTCAAAAATCCTGTGTCAAATGAATAAATCGTTATCTACAAAGAACCCCCATGTTAAAGCTATTTAAAATAAAATCCTTATTCCACAGACGATTCATGCAGCTGATATTTGTCATAATGTGAAGAAGTGTCTGATTTATGTCAGTATTTTTAGACAGAAAGTCATAATCGTCTCCTGGTAAAAATCTTCACCCAAACTCATGAGAGTCCAAATGCTCCTCTCCCAGTTCTTTAGATCTCTAACTCTCAGGCCTCTTTGTTAACCCTCCAGTATCACCGATCCATTCATTCTCTTCATTGTTTTATTTCTGATATTGTCTCATTTTCTTGCCTAAATTAATCTTGAATTTTACAATAATTCACGCACAATGGGAAAAATTTACCTATAATCTTAGGGATCAAACCAATTTTGGCGTGAGCTTTTTAAAAAAATCAATATCCTGAAATCAGTCACTAGAATGTTCTTTCTAATAACATTTTTCCCCCAATGTGGCCTTGTGAATTATCAGGAATAAGAATGAAAATCCACTGGTTGCTTATTGACAAATCCCAATGATCTATCTGGCACATAGAAAACTGGAAGAGTTCACGAAAGAACTCTGAGCAGGCGAATCAGTCCACCCATCCATCCATCCATCTATCCGTTCATCCATCATGCTATCCCCAAGTCCTTGGGTATTCTACAAAGATGAAGTTATTAAACAGCAGCTTCCCAAAGATGGCATTCACAGGCTTGCTTTAAAGGATGCTTTGCTGGAAGGTTCCTAGAACTGCCAGATGAGATTTGGACTCTAAGTACACAGAGTATTTTTGAAAAAAGGGGATTAAACACCTTAAGCAGAAAACAATATTGTATAGATAACCTGAGTACACAGCTGGCAAAGAAAGCAACAGCTGTTGAAAACACAGATTTCAGGTTAAACAGAAATCTCAAGCATTATGTATCCTCAGGTCCAAACATGCTAACTAATACCATTTCTGCTATAAACAAGTAAAGTAGGCAGTCAGTAAGTATTCTTTAGAACACAGGGTGTGAATTTTGAATAGACTGATGGTTTAAGGCATAAAATAAGGAACCGATCAATTATACTGCAAAACATCTAAAACCAGAACTTTTGTACAACATGCAGGAGAATCAGCAGAATTGCATGCCTTGGCCCTGCTGTCATATCGAGACACCTGCAAAGCTGTCACGGATTTTTACCTACCTCCAGTGCTTTTTCCCTGTAACCCTACAACTTATCAATGGGGGTTTGAGCTTCCTGCACTTCTGTCCATAATAGAAAAGCTCTTGAGCTGAATTTCAGTTTCATGGAATAAAAATAACTTACTGTTCCGACAAGGAGAGTACTCAGCATAGGCGCTGAAATTCTGAATTGCTACATAGCAAGTGCCAACTGGATCCTTTGCTGGCGTTGGTCTAAGAGTTCTCCAGTGATATAAAGGAGCGCAGGCCTATGAAACATTAAGGACAGAAAAT